TTACTTTTCATAGATTTCATGCATAGTTATAATTTCGGAAAATTGCCAGGAACCTGCGTGTTTGGTGATTAACGTACGTAAAAGTTATTGCTGGTCTGGAAGAGTTTTCCCCGGCTTTTTCACAGGCACGTATATAGTTTTCCCCTTGCGTCCGGCCCAGCTGCGCAGACACACCAACCGCAATAGTTTGCGGATATATAAAGGAAAACCCCGCACAGGCATTTGGTTTGCCTGGTTGGCCAAAATATCTTATTTATCCGCAAAATAACTACGTCACACAGCAGACTTTTTAAAAAGATTTATTCGACAAGGGGCGCGTACTTTTTTATTTCCATTGACGACAGATAACTTGGACCCTTTTTTAGGTTTTTCTCAAATATTAAAAAGCACTTTGGTCAAGATATCCACAAAAAGCCAAAACTCGCCTTTATTTTAACATTTGATTTTTGAAGAAATACTACTTGGTGATATCTGCTATAAAATGGCCAATTTTATCAAAAATCATGCAGGCGCTTACCAAAAATCAAATGCTAAAATAAAGCCGAGTTTCAGCCAAAATGTTTCATTAAATTCTCGTTTACATCAGGTAAGAAGTGCCTTTTTAACATTAACCAATAACTTCTAACTAAATGTTGTGTTTAACAATTTATGAAGGCGCTCGAAAATAATGCTGACGTTAGCACTTTTATTTTTCAGGACGCTGTAACTCAGGAGGAATTAATCCCTCTCATTATTTATTGTACATGGGAGGAGAAACTGGGGGGCCTTTAAATTTTTTAATACCTGAAGGGGGGGGGACTTTGAAAAATACAGAGAGACGAAAGAAGGGGGCTCTGAAAAGATTTACCAGTTTGAAAGAACATTAGTAGTTTTAAAAATGTATCACAAAACAACTTAACAACAAATAACAATGTTTATAGACCTTTAATATTCATAAATGGAAGCCAAATAAAAAATCTCTTATGTTCATGTAAGTAGACAATTCCCATTATAGAGCAATGTTAGAACTAGGCAAAGAGATGCAAATCAAGGCCGGATTTTGGTGAAAATAGTGGGGGAAATGGAAAAAAAATTAGGTGAGGTGCAGCGGTCTATCTCGCAACCCCCATGGAAAGTTTATATATGCCTATATTATACAGGGTGTATCAAAAAAAGCGCAACCTCGGAATTTCCCAAGAAATCGACATTGTTTTAAAGACAAAAGATTTTAGGCGCCTGGGAATTTAAAATAGCATAACTGTCAAAATTACTGCATACGCGAGTGCATAAAAAGCAAAATTTATGCATTTATTTAATCACAACAACAGTAATATGTTCTAGTAGCAATTCGATTTCGATTCCCAGGGGCCTAAAATCTTTTATGCTTAAGAATTGCAAAGTGATTTCTTAGGAAATTCCGAGGTTGCGTTTTTTTTTATACACCCTGTATATACCTTATTGTAGAACAGGCCAATATCAACGAGGCAAGGTAAGCATGTAGTGTACACATGTACCAGTGTATTAATGAATTATGACTGTATGACTGCAATCTCGCCTTTCATTACAATTGCCACAAAGTTTCTTTCAAAACATTGCATTAAAAGGGTACTTGACACAGAGGTGAATGGCTATCACAGTTTCAATTTTACAGAGAAAACTTACCTTACGTCACGAAGTGTACATCCTAAGCAACCATCACATTTTCACTTTGTTACATCATTGAAACTTTCCCAAGGGGAGGTGCATGACCTTTCAGGAGGTACAAAAATTCTCAGGGGAGGTGCAAAACGATGACAGAAAAGTGTTAGCTATAAAGTGTAGTTAGAATAAATTTCTAAATACAACTTACTGTATCTTTTGTTTACGCCTCAATTTCCCTATTGTTCAAAGCCCTTCCCACTTGAAGTAATTAAAGTCCTGTTCTAGACGAGGTATCCAGATAGATACACGTGATGAAAATTAAACCATGTCATTGGCCGAAATGCTATGAATATCTAATGATGTATGAGAAGCCTTACTTAAGTTCGCTATTAGTATAGGTAATCATGCGATGGCGAGTACAATTAGGGATTAATAGTACTAGTGATGTTTGGAAATTTTGCCAAAATTGGACAAGCCGCCGGGGCGAGTCCAATTTGGCAAATTTCCAAACAGCATGAGTACTGTTAATCCCTAATTGTACGGGCAACATCGCATGATTATTTGTTTATTATTAGCATGACAAAATTGGATACTTCTCAATGTCAGCATCATATTCACTCGCCAAAGCCCAGTCCTGCCAGACATTCAACCAAAATTGGTGCTTTTGTTCGTATTTTTATCTAGTTCCTTTAGGGCAATTAATTTCATTTCACATTTGTGATTAAAATACCTTTCCGCCATTTTGTTTGTTTTGGGAAAATCATTAATTGTACAGCAGTACAATTAATGAAATAATTGTACTCCTCTCAACCAATCAGCATCCAGTAATTTTGTCATGCTAATAATAAATCCTATCATAAACGCGAACTGTAAGTGGCAGTGTAGGTAACGATTATAACAGACATCTGTGGATTGAGAGAACTTCGACGTTTCGAGCAACAAAGTTTTGCTTACAAATGTATCTCTTTCAATCCGCAGCTCTTCGACTTGATAATTAAGAAATCAAAACCTATCGATTTCTGATCATAATTATGTCGTTAACCGTCGCCCTACTTTAAGCTATCAAATCCTATTGTTGACGTTAAGTGCCCATTAATTATTAGACACATAGTGCTGTTCGATCACTGACCGTTTATGAACGTTAAATAACGGTCGAAACGTATGCAACGGCCAAACCGGAACATTTGTATGTTTTGAGTTCTGTAAAGCGTATAAAAGGAGAATAGGCGAGACTGTTTAGTTATATTGATGTAGCGTGGTGGAATTTCAAAGTACATTAAAATACAGAGCAAATCAGTTCGTTGTTTAAGTTTTTTGAAGACAATGATGAAACTATTAGTCATTATGGCGTTGTTCCGTCATGGAGGTCAAGCTCAAAAACCTTGGGGTCTCAATACACACTGGTGAATCATATGGTATGTGATTGAAATTGTTTGATGTAGTTTTCAATATTTTTTACAAGATGTATGCATGCATATGTATGGTAATTTTATGCTTTTTTAGTATTAGTGATTATTTTTTAATTAACTTCGCTGTAAAATATATTAACATCTGATTAAATCATTTGTTTTGAACCGGGATTTTTTGAGAGTAGCCACCCTTGTTCTTTTAAGAGAAGATTTAGTTATAAAGGCGGGAGCATTGGTTTGGAATCAGCATTGTAGTTAGTATTGAAATTAAAATCGCATGCTAAGTCCCGTACAAATGAGCAGGTTTCCCTTGACAAATTTTATTTGCTCGTGTGTACAGCCAAAAATTTGCCTTGCCAATTAGGGGCCTTGTTCTAAAGCATAGTTTGGACAAGGAAAATTTGTATCATGGCCGCCAAGGAAAACTTGACAAGTGCATGTGCAAGAAATACTTCGGCGGTTTTGGCAAACAAAAGACGGTCCTGGCTAGCCTGCGAACAGGCACTCAAACTGAATAGAGAGCCTGCATCGAAGACGAATGAATTTGAATATCTGCGTCTCAAATCGTGACGCGAAATTCTCATTGGTCAGATGCTATAATTTGTATGTTTCCGCTGAGCTCTATATATATCAACTGCTGAAGCACTAATGCATAAAAAACACATTAACTGATCAAATTGGTCTTGGTCATCTTACCTCAAAGCACGAAATGATCTGTTTTGATAAAACAGTATTTAAAACATTTGAACTTTTGCTTGAATATCTTAGATTTCGAAAAACAGTATAAACTGTACGGTCTATTAAAATTTAGTTTGCACGGTCTAAATTTAGTTTGCACGAAAGTTGTAAACAACACCATATAAGGATAGACATTCCATATTTGGAAAAACGAACGTTACGGGGCAGATATTCAAATTCATTAGTCATCGATGCAGGCTCTCAATTCAGCTTTAGAGCCTGTTCACAGACTAGGCCTTCAAGTAAGATAAATGTTTAAAACATTCCGCTGCACACGAGTAACAAAGAAAACTTGTCAAGGAAACTTGTCAAGGAAGCTTGTCAAGGAAAATTCGCTTGTCTGTACGGGGCTTTAAATTAATCTGATGTCATTCGATATTCTAGTTTTAGATTGGAAAGGCCTTGAGCTTTGATTTGGTCTAAACACTTCACAACCTTCATCAAAAAGTCAGACATTTTGTAGAGCTCTGTAAGACACGTCCGCACAGTCCTTGTCTGTTCATATAATTGTCTGTTCATATAATATAATAATTGACAATCCCAGTAACTTACTAAAATTGTAATTTCACGTATAATAAATGTCCTAAACCCAGATCCTAACCCCAATGCTAACGATATACAATGCCAATAAGTGACTGGATACAAATTTATTTACTGGAAAACCACGTTCGGATGGGATGACTTCGTAGATGAAATACTCTTAGAGCCGCTACTGGTATATCAACGGCGCAGATTGGATTCCTGCCAGAGGGCCTAAAGTTGCACTGATATTTCGCGACTGCTCCCTGGTTTTTTCCTGTTAGTTCTATCGAACGGGATGCCACCAAAATCTTGATATTAACCCCCATATTCGACGATATTTCATTGTGGTCAGTGATTACGATAGAATTTTAGCTAAATTAACAAAACACAAAACAAAATTTGATATGGTACGTACGCCTACACGATGTAATGACCCAGTGTAGAATTGGATGACATACTGTATACTATAGTAAGTCTAATATCCACTGCGAGTATACCTTACAAGTCCGTCTGCATTTAGACATGGGCATCAAGATGGCTTTGAAGTTCCTTGTACATATTGAACGCAATTCGACCCAGAGAACAAACAAATGCAATAGCGGCTTGCTCATTGGCTTCCAATTCTTTACAAGAATCACATTGGCGCGTTGTACCATGGCCACTTGTCTGGTGCAGTTCCAAAGTTTCAAAACTGCAGGGGAATTGTTCATTTCATTTATCACAACTGTTACTTGTCACATCGGATTTCACAGCAGACGGTTGTTGCATGCTCTTTGATTCAAAGATTTCTCTGCCACAGGTGTTGCACAATGCATCTGATATATGGTAACACTTGTGTTCATCCATACATTGTCTATCAATGTAACCTTCATTGGAGACATCACACTCTTCATCATTTACTGTTGTGTCACACACCATTGAAGCACTTGACACTGGAAATATTTTGTCTTGACCTCCAGATTCGACATGTTCATCTTCATCTTGTTCCCGCTTATGCACAACCAAGTCACTCGATCCAGAAGAATCTTTGTTGCAAGCATCGTACTCACAAGCATTGTTCACAGTACGTGTTCGTGTATGTCTACGAACACTGCTCGATTGTTAAAATCTGGTCTTGCAAATATTGCATTAATAAGGCTTATATCCAGTGTGTGTTCGTTTATGTGTTGCCAGGCTGTTCTAGGTTGTAAAACCTTTCTTGCAAACGTCGCATTCATAAGTTGTTTCCCAGAGTGTATCCTTTTATGTGTTGCCAAATTTCTAGAGTCTAAAAATCCTTTCTTGCATGCATTACATCTATAAGGTTTTGGATATCCCGGTGAAACACTCGCTCTCGTTGTTCATATATTACGTCGAAATTTGCGACCCATAATAGCCAGAAGTAATCGAGTATCCACACAGTAAAATTTTAACAAATATTGCTGCCCAGAAAAATGATGGTGCCCTTTTAAAATGGCTGCCCCTGCCGCTTGACATTGCTTCCGCCCCCTTTGGGGTTTTCCCCCATTATGTACTCTTTTATGGACAGTCAGGTTACTTAATGAAGAAACTTGTTTCTGGCAAACATCACACTCATAGGGTTTATTCAAATTGTGTGTTCTCTTGTGTATTACTAGCTTACCAATTCAAAAAATATTTTCTTGCGAACTTGACATTCATAAGGTGCACCTCGTTTGTGTGTTTTTTCGTGTCTTGTTAATTAGGCTGCATGATTGTGAGAATCTCATCTTGTAAAGATCACATTCGTATGGCTTTTCCTTGGTATGTGTTCTGTTATGTATAGCTAAATGATACTTTGTTGCAAAATCTTTCTTGCAAATATCACATTCATGTTTGTCTCCATTGTGTGTTCTTTTGCGGTTTGTTTGACAGCTTAAACTTGAGAATCCTACTATGGATAAATCGCGCCAGAAAGCTTTGTTCCTGATACGGGTTTTCTTATGTCTTTTTCAACTACTTGATTGTGAAAACCTGATCTTGCAAACATCACATTCATATGGCTTGACTCCAGTATGTCTTCTTTTATGCACAGCCAGGTGACCTGAGGAGAAAAATGGTTTCTGGCAAACATCGCTTTCATAATGTTTATTCAGAGTGTGTGTTCTCAAGTGTATTACTAATGCATCAGTCAAATACAAGCATGCCCACCCACCTGGGCAACCCCAGGCGTTTGCCAAATTGTGACAATTTGTGGTTATTGCCTAGGGGTGGGGATGAAATAAATGTGAAAATGCCCGGTTGTGGACAGAAAATCCTTAGCAAAGGCCCCACCCCAAGGGGGAGTAAAGGTTAAATAAAGTTCTCCTTTTTACTTGCCTTGTACATTTGGGAACTTCTCCCAAAATACCCAAGACAGTTAATGCTTTAGTAGGTTTTATGTAGACTTGAAATAATAATGTAAAATGCAACTGGCGGAGTAGCTGAATGTACATGGTGCCAAAACAACTTTCTGGTCTTAGATGACCTAAATGAATCCTGCAGAATTATCGACGAGATGCAGATAAAAAACCGAATTGGCAGCGATGGAAGCAACGAGGGCAAAGATAAACCGCCAGCAAGCAAGCATCAGCAAGCAAGAGTACAAAACAACAAAAAGACTGTAATAGTGGGAGACTCGATTGTCAAAGGTTTGCAGCAACACAAACTGTCGAAAGCAGCAAAGCAGAACGTGGGTGTGAAATGCTTCCCAGGAGCGACTGTTGGTGATATGAGCGATTATATAAAACCCGTGCTACGTCGAAAGCCAGATACCGTTATTCTACATGTGGGAACAAACAACGCCACTAACAAAGAAGCAAGCGAGATAGTTAATGACATCGACAAATTATGCCAAGAGGTCAAATAAATTGATCCCAACGTTGAAATAATATTGTCTGAATTGACCAACAGAGAGGACAATGCAAAGGCCAAAACAACTGTTCAAGAGGTAAATCGTTTGTTAGCAGATTACTGTACTACGACTAATTTAAATTTAATTATACATAACAACAATATCCTCTGTAAGCCGCTTAACAGATCCAAATTGCATCTGAATAAGTTAGGATCCTCTACTTTAGCTAAAAACTTTATTAGTTATTTACATAATTTTTAGCCTAGGTAAAGTTCCAACTCTTTACAGCAAAATTTCCGACACCGAACCAAAAGAGCCAAGTTGCTCCATTGAGAAGATTATTCCACAAACAAAGTGTGAAAATAGCATTACATTTTTACAATCTTTGAAAGGATTTAGAGTTGGGCATTTAAACATCGCTTCGTTAGTTAAGCATGTTGATGAATTAAAAATATACTTGGAAAAAGAACCACTGGATGTTTTGAGCATTAACGAAACTCGTTTGGATGAAAAAATTAGTACAGATACTGTTAGTATACTCGGTTACGACATGGTTTCCAAAAATCGTAATCGGCAAGGAGGCGGTGTTGCAATTTACCTTCGCAGTATTTTGAACGTAATTGATAGAGATGATTTAGTCCCAGAGGACGTCGAGGCTGTTTGTCTCGAAATTATTAAGCCTAAATCTAAACATGTCTTAGTTGCATCTGCATATAGGCCACCGAATTCGCAAATTGAATTCCTTGATAAAATTGAAGTATTATTTCAAAGCCTTGACAACGAACATAAAGAACTAATTATCGTGGGCGATTTAAATTGTGATTTTTTATCCAACAATTTAAGCAATCACACTAAACGTTTTAATGATATAGTTAATATATTCCAGCTGACACAGTTGATTGCCCAGCCTACACGAATTACCGAAAAAACAGCTTCTCTTTTGGATGTCGCTCATGTAAACAATCCTGAAAAGATTTCGTACTCAGGAGTATTGCATGATGGAATAAGTGACCATAGCTTGATCTACGTTTGTAGAAAAATTTCGTTTGTAAAAAATGATCCCAAATTTATTGAGTCAAGAAATTTTGAAAACTACATACAGCGAGACTTTAACCAAGACTTATACCATGCTTTATCTAATTTAAATTGGGAGATAAATGATCCAAATATGCTTTGGGAGAACTTTCAAACAACATACAATTATGTTGCTGACATTCATGCTTCACTTCAAAGCCGTAAAGTTAGAAACAGAAAGGCACCGTGGCTGACTGATGCAATTAAGAAAAGTATGAATCGCCGAGATTACAGTACCGCTCAGAATTAACCTAACAAAAACCGCGGTTTAACTTCGGTTGAACCTCGGTTTGACCGCGGTGAGACCGCGGTGATTTAAAGGTTTGACCGAGGTTAGTCCGCGGTAATTTTGAGGTTAAACCGCGGTGACCGTGAGGTTTGACGCGGTTTGACCGCAACCGAACCGAACCGATCCGCAAGCTTCGTATATACTCGTAATAGCATTCGTAAATATTCGTGTATTTCCAAAGGGGTCATTATAAAAACTCCGTGTGTGCTTTATAAATATTGACATATTTTGTAAACATCGAGGCATGGGGAGGTTGTCGCTTTATGCCAGGGAGCGAATTGTCTCCTTACTAAGCTTTCGACAAATACTTCAGTTGTTGGAATAACTAAGAGTTTAAACGAAGAAGGCATCGCGATCCGCTGTAAATTGATTTATTTGTCGCTTTCGCAAAACTGAAATTCTTCACGATGCCCCACGTAGCAATGCATGTGCATTTTCTTTCGGCTTAAATAAAGGAACTAATAAACTTGCCTCGTCAATATAAGCTAATATATACAAGTGTTTACAAACAAAAAAAACTCGTCCAAGTAAGGCTCAAAAACTCCTACCCAAATTTTGAACAAAAATCATCAGACAGCAATAAAATAGTGCTAAAATAGGTCTCTTTTTGTTTATTACAGTTTAAATATTTAAATAGATGTTTTAGAATAAGTAAGAATTTGGCGCGCTCATCAACTTAAATTAAGGCCTTAGATTGGTTTAAATCTTATTTGCATAACAGACAGAACGCAATACTGCAGGGTGAACAATGCAACATCGTCCACCAGGAAAATACGTTGTGGGGTTCCCCAGGGATCGAACCTTGGTCCCTTTTTGTTTTTATTATACGTCAATGACCTGCCAAATTGCTTGGATAAATCCTGTCCGGCAATGTATGCAGATGATACAAATCTTACAGTATGTTCAGATAGCATTAATAATTTGGAGGAAGCACTAAATTCTGAAATGAAAAATATTCACCAGTGGCTTCTTTCAAACAAGCTAACTTTAAACATTGAAAAAACAGAATACATGATCATTGGAACCCGTCAAAGACTAGCTAAAATTCAAAAAAATACTAGCGTATCATGCGGGGGGAAACTATTGAAACAGATTTATTCCAAAAAGACTTTAGGTGTACTGATTGATGACAATCTATGTTGGAATGAGCAAATCGACAACATCAGTAAAAAGGAATCGAAGGGCATTGGTATGCTGCGCCGTGCAAAGCCATTTGTCTCTTTTGAAACTCTTAAATATATTTATCAGGCTTTCGTGCAACCGAGTTTTGATTACTGCTCCATGGTTTGGGAAAACTGTGGCGAAGGTTCAAAAGAAAAGCTACAGAGACTACAAAACCGTGCAGCTAGAGTAATCACAGGTGATACCTATGAAATTCGCTCCACAGATATTTTAAAGAAATTAAATTGGAGTACACTCGAAGAGAGAAGAAAGGAGCAAAAATTAGCATATGTGACCAAAGCCCTTTCAAACCAATGTCCTGAAAACATTTCAACTATGTTTAAAATCTCAAATTCTGATAAATATAATTTAAGACGTAATAACAAGATGCTGATGTTGTCGAAGCCTAAAACAAATTCAATGAAAAGGACATTCGGATTTGCTGCTGCTAAAGACTGGAACTATAATAGTAATAATTTTAAATCTACTTAATTCATTTGTAATATATATATTTAACGTATCGCTTCGACCCAAACATTTCTTAGTATCTTTTAATATTTTTATAATAGTTTATATAATAGTATTTCGAGTTTTAATTTGTATTTAATAACACGGCCTAATGAAAAACAGCCTTTATAATTTTTGTAAATACTGATAGGTAATATGGTTGATTAGTTACCGTGTATAAAGATGTTGTAATAATAATAATAATAATAATAATAATAATAATAATAATAATTGTACTGGCATACAACGTGCAGATCGGCTGACAACGTTCTATCGAATGGGATGCCCCCATAATCTTGATATTTTTGTGGAACTTGCGATATCCACAGTTTGGTTCATTCAATAAAACGCTCAAGGGAATGTATTCTTACGATTTTATTGATTTTATTATTGTGTGAGTTTTAACTAACATTCTGATTTGTTACGATCTGGAAGCAACATTATATTAATTATATTAATTACAAGGACCTATTTATAACAAGATTTGAATTACGTCTGAATCACAATATTGATATCATATATGAAGTATTTACAAAATTAACTGGTGGCACTGTGTCACCATTTAAATTGTCAGTAGGTTTACATGCGACTGATGCGAGAAGCACAATAATAATGATTATTATACATTGTAGTTGGTAAAAGCAATTTGATTGGCTAAGCGCTTACAGTTAGATCGCGCAATCACGCAACCTACAGAAAATTCAGTTATCTGCTAGCAGATAACTGAGTTATCTGCAAATGAGCCTGCGATGATTAGCAAGCGGTATCTATTTAACACAAACAAATGTATAATAAAACAAGTATTTAATTCGGTTTTTCGATATGCAATATGATCAAGGTCTCGGTAAGCGTTATTGGCCTCGCCTTCGGCTTGGCTGATAACGCTTACCTCGACCTTGATAATTCGGCATATCACGAAAATCTCATCCAATAATTGTTAATTATACAATCCATTGCGCTTATCAAAAGTGCAGACGGGTCATTGGTGTTGTATCTTGTCCATGCACCGTTGTTAATATGTCAGTGACAATCAGCGTTAGACCAAAATTCAGACAGCTCTGGTCGAGGCTCTGCATGATGGTAATTTGTTTACATTTTTCGCGCTAGAAGTCGTTCGGTTTTACGACAACCGTTATACAGCTAATACTCTACCACCAATTAAATTTAGTGTGTGTGCTAACATTTCAAAATCTTAAATAGAGGGTCCAATCTAAATTGTATATAAATTTTAATTGTTGTGGTTAGACCTTTATCACATATGAAGTAAACTAATTTTCAAGGGCGACAATGCATAGGGGCGAAGGCACGAGGAGGGGGCTGTAGGTGCGAGTGCTCTACTAGGGATGGGATCTCTGAAATGTCATTCCCTGGATTTTTGGAAAGATTTCACAATTCTGATGGAAATTAAAATGATAATTCTGTAGAATTTCATGCGGGAGGATAAATATATATTAATCCCCACTTTTCCAAAACTGATTCATTCATCTTCCACCCCACCCCTCCAGGATTGACGCCTTTGTATTGGTACGGGGCAGGATGGCTGTATTTTCATTCAATCTACGAACGGCGTCTTCGCTACAGTTTTTATGTACGCCCTACATGGAAACCCCGCTCGGTACGCAACATTTAACAAGAATCATTTTCTATTTTACTTATTCGCGGCGAATTTTCTCCCTTCGCGCGAGCAAACTCTCCTAATGGAATCGGGCATAAAACTGAATGTTTCTGCCCTATAATTTATTATTACTTAATAAATTAAGTAGTAATATGTCCCTTAATAAATTATTTAAAGATATTTATACACGCTAGCCTTTCACCTTTGTGATTTTCAAAGGGCCGTATATCACTAAATATATAACAGAAATAGCATAGTCTAACTATTTATAAGTTATAACACGTCAATTGCAAAATTTAAGATTAGAAGTCTGTTCATCTGAGTAATGTTTATTTAAATTATTAAGATACCGTCTCTGTAAGAGCGGTCCAGTGGATATTCGTTTGGAAAATATTTGACCTTCAAACTTTGTGGTTAAAAAGTATTTCATACGACGTTAATACAGTGCTTACACATTTTGCTATATATCTTTCGATATGGCCTTTTTTCCCCTATCGGAACCGAACACCTTATTTGGCATTTCCGGCTGCTGAAAATTTGGCAATATTTAGGTAAATTGAAAAGTCTGCTACGGACACTACCACACTCCGATTTACGCTATTTCGTTATATGTTGTAAAATACATATCGATCTTGAATATGCGTGGAGTTCATTGGGTTTTGTGAACATTTTAATGTAAAATAAATCTTTCAAATTCAGCCTAAAAGTCGCTTTCGCAACTAAGCCAAAAAAGGCCTGTTTTAATGGCAATATCTCAAAAGTTAGAAGCAGTGAAGAAACTAATACACCACTAAAGTTTAGCTTGTATCCCATGCTGGAAGCTTCTTTAAAAAAATGTTGCGGTATTTTCCAGTATTTTGTGTGACAGCCGTTGAAACATTGCCAAATTACGAAATTTACATGGAATTTTGACATTTCCTTGTTAAGTGATAAAAACATTTTTTACCTAAGCACATGTTATAGAAATCTATATACATCCCAGCAAATGTTTGTCTGACCATGGCAATGTTGTTAAAACAAAATCTGCAATTGAACTCAGTTGGTAAACTGTCGTAAATAGGCATTTGAAATTAGCATTGTTTTTCAATATTTTGTCTTAAGGCGGAGCCAATCAGGGCTATTTTAATCTTGTCTTGGAATGTTAAATACTTTAATGCAAAATATCAACAAGAAATACAATCTGTATGTTAATTGTTCGCTTATAAATGCTTAAATACAGGGTTAAAGAGTATGTTCACCTGATATCGATTGCGAAACTGTGACAGTATAGAATGGGTTGGGTGCTTGTTTTCATATGAAAATTGACACATTCACATAACTCCGAAATTTCATCTGACTAGAAAATCAAAATAACACTGTTTATTGTTTCAGATCTTCCTTATCTGAAGAAATATTACAAAACAATAATGCATTCCAAGATATTAAAAAACTAAATACGTACTTTTAGTATTTTTGCACAAGTGAATATAACAAATCTGACGAGTTAATTGGTCAAATTTGACACATTAAGCTATTATATATATTCACCTACAGGCGAATACAACAAAAAAACGAAATTTGCAAAATGGAGCTAGCCGTTTTGTGGAAGTTATTGATAAAGAAATAAGCGAAATTAACTTAAATTCAGTCCCAAAAACACAAAAGACTTGTGTTAAATACAAAAACAAATATTCGCCTCAGCCTCGGTGATTATGAATATATCCAAATAATCACCTCGTGTTCAGCGAATAATTGTTAAATATTTTTAACCACTTAGTCAGGAATCTCTGGCTTTTTTATTGTATATGCAGTGCGCTAGGGCTAGGGTAAAACGCTGATACGGACGGATAACCTATTCTTCTTTAAAAATGTTTCAAACGTCATATCCGCGTTCTACTCAATCGGGGAAAACGAGGATATGGTGTAAATTTTACTTTTAATAATAATCGTAATAAACGGTTTATTTACAACCAATCTTGCAGTTGAAATTGAATTACGCTGATTTTACAACTGTAAACTATACCCAAGAATATGTAGTAACATATGATTTATAAGAATATTAAAAGTAGAAGTTACAATGGTTTACCAGTATGAAATACTGCCGGTATGACTAGAGTGACGTAATAACATACAATTTAAGAATATTAAAAGTTATAAGAGTTAAAAGTGTTTCATAAATAATAAATAATAATATTTACATTTATAGTGCGCATATTCCATTTGGTATATGTTCATATGCGCATGAGAATTTGATACGTAGAATATAAAATTAGTTAGAACTATTTAGTTAAAATTATGTCTTTAAAATTAACCTAAATTACGAACTTTATTTACATATAGGCTCTCTTAAATAAGTATGTCTTTAAAGTCTTTTAGAACTGTCAATAGAGCTAGCCTCTCGGATATATGAAGGTAAGGAGTTTCAAAGCGTGGGTGCCGCAGAGGCAAATGATCGATCATCTAACGTGGCTCAAGAAGAATTTCTCTGTTCGATCTAATATTATAGTTAGATGGAGACTTAATATTTATTAGTTCAATTAAGTAATCAGGTGCCAGCCCATGCAATGCCTTAAAAACTATTAATAGCAGTTTAAAGTCTATTCTAGACTTTACCGTCAACCAGTGTAGATTCATCAAAGTCGGGGTGATGTGATCAAACCGTGAAGAATTGCTGATCAGTCTAGCTGAGGCATTTTGGACACGCTGGAGTTGTTAAGATGAATTGTTGGGAGACCATAAAGAAGGCTATTGCAATAGTCCAATCGACTTATCACCAACGAATTGACCAATATTTTCGCAGTTTCATAGGTGAGGAATTTCCTTATCCGTCTAATGTTAAATATGTTAAAAAATGCAGCACTTGAACACTTGCTTATGTTAGTTACCATTTTCATCTGCGAGTCGAACCAGAATCACAAATTCTTTGCCTTGTCGATCGAGTTGATAGAATTGTCGCCAATTCTCAAAGAATTAAAGTTGACCTTCGCTAGTTGTTGCCGAGTTCCAATGATTAGAAATTCTGTTTTACCATCATTAACCTTTAATTTATCAGAGAGCATCCAATCCTTTATAACATCAATGCAATGTTCTAAGGCAGCAACTGCAGCAAGTTGATCACATGTCGAATCTGGTTTGAACGATACATAGAGCTGTGAATCGTCAGCGAATGCATGAGCATCAGGTAGGTGTTTTTCCACAATGCTAAACAGTTTACTAACATATAGTACAAATAGTAGGGGACCCAAACATGATACCTGAGGGACTCCACATGATACATCAAAAAGTCTAGATCGGCCACCGTTGACTGAAATAAATTGAGAACGTTTACTGAGAAGAAGTAAACCACTCTAGAACCCGGCCCGCCCCTTTATTCCAAATTCATGATTCAGTCTACGAAGCAGGATGTCATGATCAACGGTGTCGAATGCGGAGCTAAGATCTAGCATTACCAATAGAGTAACATGTTGACGGTTCATATTCATCATGATATCGTTTGTTACTTGTAGCAAAGCCGTTTCAGTGCTATGGCATTTACGATATGCCGACTGACCTTTAGGATACAATCTTTGTGTATTCAGAAAATCGTTTGTTTGATTGAAGACCGTACGTTCAGTAAGCTTCGATGACATATTTTTACAAGCTCCGGTTTGACATATTTTTACTAATGGCCAATCACATGCGAGATTCGACTTCTGAATCTAATCAAGTGTGGAAGTGGGATTTGAAGTCTTTTTCCACGCTTCTCTTCCACACACTCATTTGCGATCTTCGTACATTTGTCATCTTGTGTCTTCATGGTAAGACCAAGCCAAGTCAGCCTCCCCTTTTGTTCATACAGGAATCAGATGATGGAACAGAACCGTACGAAGAAGTCCAAATATCACCACCTTCTGTTTACGCCGAGCTTGACAGTAACCGACAAGACGAAACAACAAATGATGGCACCTACCAGAAATTGTTAAAACGCGACTCAGATTATGTAATACCCGCTCATACTGAAGCAGAATCATCGTACGAAGAGGTTGGAAAGAGAAAATCACCCCCTGGCTACACAGAGCTGGACAACACGAAACGAGTACAGGGTGATAGCGCTGATTACCAAAAATTGATAAAGAAATAACAGAGTCAGAGTGTGGAAATCAGGTTTAATTCTTACACTGATCTAAACTACGACTGGACAGTCAAATGCTTTACAAATCGAATCTTCAGGTGTCGAAATTAGTTTTACTATCAAGCAAATGTCTTTTCCTATTTAACTTAGGATCACTAAGGAAGTTTACCGTAGAAAAGCGAAAATACGTAGTTTACTAGTATAAATAACTCAATTGTATATATTTTGTAGACCGGCAAAGTAAATAAAAGGAATTCTGGCTTTGACTACATGGGACTACATGCACATTTGGAGTAATACACGCTTCGTTGTCTGGGCTTCGAGGGTTGTTTTTTAGATACTCCGATTTTCCTTTTGCTAAAAACTAATTCTTCCTTGTGTGCTCTATTGCCTATATGTACGTTTGTGTGGGTATTGAAACTATGCCAATATCCGTTTACACGCGGTGCGATTTAATTTGTTGATCCAATTTCGGGACATTAATGGAAACTGTCTCTATAAACAAGACAGCTGTCCACTGTATATCGCCCATTACTGTAAATGGAAAAGCAATAATATAATATTTTATGCGTGCTCGAGGATTGCTAGAGTTGTTTTTGGTGGGTTTTTGTAAATGGAAATTTTGTGCGAGAATATAATTAGACTTGACCGAAAAATGCAACGTCTTCTGTGCGGGTTTTTCTTTAGAGACTTCGGTTTTCCTCTGAGTAAAAACTAAGACAAAACTAAAGACCGTTTGATAAATCAGTTGCGACAGAAGAGCGTAACCCTTCCAGAAAGGAAGTGTGCCTATATTAGGAGCGATTTTGAGGCGGCCATTTTAGAGAGAGCAATGCGACTGTAGCTTGTGTAATAGCAGCTGGTGTAATGTGCCCTCTCGGAATCGCCCATTACTGTCAATGCAATGCCAAAGGAGGAAATATAATACAATTCTCTGAAAAATATAGTTTGAAGCAGGCAAACTTTTACTAACTTCTAGACGCAGGGCATTTGTTCGTATAACGTTAAAGTTCTTGTTATATTTTTCAGGTCATTTGATCTTGTAATTCCGTAAATAATGAAATATATAATATTTCCTGTACTGTAGTGTCCTCCCTTGCTACGACTATACGTGCTTGTCTGTAGCCGTAGCAGTTGAAAACGTTTGCTTTCTTGTCTTTACAGTTCTTTCAAGATGCAAGAAAATTAAAAAGTTAAAGGTATACAACTTCTACACTTTATAAGGTACAAAAATATTGGTAAATTTTGGTTCCAAACGACGACGGAAGTATTTCTATGGGGACCAGACAGAAGTTAGTATTTAGTTTATATAATAGTATTTAGTTTATATAAGTGTTCATAAAGACATTAGATGGTGATTAACTTCAGGAATGTTGACAAAGATATACAGGAGCCGAACTGAGAAAATTAAACTACATCTCTCAATTTTATTTTTAAGGATTTGCGAAGCAAAATCCTTTATGTCATCGGGATTGTAAGATGTAAGTAGATAATTGACGGTGAGTTCCGAGTCGAGAATTCGTGAACTGCCGGAAGTTATTATACGTCATAACTGTTTAGTAACAGTAATATTCGCGATCTTTCAGCCAAATATTAAACCCGCTTATTTTCGTAAAATACACCAACGACTAAACATTTTACAATTAGTTTTGAGCTAAACGAAGGAATATATGACTGTTTTGTACTAGAAATACAAGTGGAAAAGGTCCTGAAAGACAAATTCGTAAAACTAAAATAAAAGGTGGTGTTCCATTAAGGAAACTGTATTTATAAAAAATGGGACAAAGCAACCATTTTGGCGATTGATAATCATAAGTTCTCTCGCAAAATGAGAGAGTCAATTGAAATCGAGAAGCACAATACTTATAGATCAGGAGGGAAAGCCACTAGATAGTACATGGCGTGTTGTCTTTATTAAAATGACCCATAAGGCTATAAACTCATTGTTTCTGCTATGTTCGGCACATGAAGAGTTTGACGTTTGTTCTTGAAACTACGACATGATCGAAGTAGACTTCATTTGCATGATGAGTTTTCTCATTATTTGGCAATACTGTGGTGTCTGCTGCAGTTGAAACATACACTTTTTGTCTTGGTATAGTCTTGGTATAGCCCTGGTTTTTTGTTTAACCATTTCAGCTTTCATTCAAGTTATAAGAAAACAATCAAAATAAAACCCAAATAAAAGTCTACATCATATCGCATCATACAGACTACAAAATATTGAGTATTGGCAAAGTTGGGTGTTAACAAAAGCGGAAGTGGTAGGCGGACAAAAGTAAACAATAGACCTTTCTTATAATGGCGTCAAACGCGGAAAAACCATTGGGAAAAACACTCGATGTGATGTACCGAGTGACAATTTTTAGCGACAGTTCGCAATGCAAATGACGTTTTTATGGATTTTATATACTGGCTGGCCAACGACTTACATTGCGAATAGTCGCTAAATTGTCGCTAAGAATTGTCATGTGGGACATCGCATGCTGGTGTTCGGCCGCATTCGACGTCGTTATATTAGAAAGGTATCCCTTCCACAACAGAAAAAACTAGCATTATTTTCTCACTCTGATAACTGTAGGGTAATTGGTTACGCCATATTGACTAGAGGACCTCGGCAAACCTTCGGCTCGGTAGGTTTGTATTGCGCTAATGAAGAGTCTGGGCTGACAGATCAAAAACTAGTTGTATGTTGTTAGTTATAAGTGAAAGTTTGCGTTCCATTTTAAAGGATGATTCTTTTGTTCAAATTCTAGATGGCATCGAGCAAGTATTCTGAACACTGTTTCATTATTTGTCTTCTTGGTTTAACCAGTGTGACCTATGTAACACTCGGCGACTCAGGTATTGCAGGAAAGCACAGGGTTTCGATGGCGCAAACGTCAGATCAAGCGCCTTGAGGTCGTGGATCAATCAACGCTCTTATTTAGTTTTTCTTTCATTTACTTTACGCATGTTTTATCACATAATATAAAGTATACCGTGTATAATTTTGCTGTGGTATATCATATTATAATGTAATCTTTTACTGTTCTAGCTATTCTCTCCTACTCAATGCCAGTTGGGCAAACGACCAGGAATGGCAGAGTGCACTACAAAGACACATCTTATAATGGAGTAATTATCAATGACTTTTACAAAAATGGCACTGGAATACTTGTAGATGGCAAGTTTGGTCCTGGTAACGCAAAATTATTAAGAGGCGAAGGATGGGTGGGATGGTCTTCCTTTCTTACTCAATCACAATATATCGACATCACATTTGAATTTTCTGGTGTGCGAAAGTTCACAAATGTTATACTAACTGCGAACGTTGACAAGAAACGCGCACGTGATAATGCTGTATTTAATCAATCACAGATATTCTTTTCTTCAACCCAAGACAGTTTCTCAGACACATCATTTCTTCAGTACTGTCCAAGAGATTTTCAAGGCAAAGATGATCCATACAATGCAAATGTAACTTTGTCACTTTGTGAAAATACAGCAAGATTTATAAAGTTGCGGTTATATTTTAGTGGACGCTGGTTACTAATCTCTGAGATTAGTTTTAATTCAGGTATTTTGACTCGCTAGTTGTGTCAAGCCCATCTTGAGGCTGACAATGTGATTCTATATTTATAAGGTATAAATAATTAAGTCATTGTCAGACTTTAGCCATTGTACCATTGACATTGTCTCGTGTGCATTCAGGCAAATCCGGGCATGTTTTTAGAAATCTTGTCTGGATCAATAAAAGTAATATTTTCTAAAGTTTTGAAATAAACGGATTTCCAGATGTATCCATGTTTAACATATAGGGTTAGCACAAATCTAGCTTTGAACATCCGTCTCCGGAATTGCAACTAGTTGTGAACTGAGTCAATTTGAATATATATATATTCTAGTATAGAACTCTAATAAATTTTAAAACCCTGTCCTGATCTGTCTCGGTTATTCTTTGATATTGTTAGTTCCTGCGAGTAAAGATGAGAAGAAGTTACTTCAGAGTTGTTCAGGCAAAACATCTCACTCTTGTCCGGTTGTACCAACGACGATCCCTCAACTGACAAATACCAAAGCAAAACCTGGATATAATGGCGGTAAGTAGTTAGAGATATTGGGTTGATCTGTAACGACGATCAGGGGTTGAAATGACTGAAATTAACGGGCGCCAGGTCGCCAATTGCGGCCAGATTTTTCATATGGCTACCATGCAGATGTTTGTCGAAGGTAAAATATTAAAGTAATTCTAAGGCCTTAACATTTCTCAGTTATCAAATATTTCATTCTGCTTTTGCACATAATTTGCCTACATTTTAAACAACTTTCTTTTATGTAATCTGTTTACGCATTTTTTACTGTATAATATAAAGCACTGGGTATAATTTTGGTGTACAGTACTGTTATATAATGCGCTCTTTTTTTATCATATTAATTAAGGGTAAAGCAGGTTATCCATATAAAACTATTGTATAGTTGGGTAATGGTACGGGAGGAACTAGCCTTGAGGGAGGAACTAGCCTTGTAATGGACCATTTGCATTATAGACTAAATTTTGATCTAGACAAAAATTTCATCACAGCTTGAAAGAGCATCACAAAATTAGTAATAATCCAACGTTTCGTTGCGAAATGTTGTAAAATGCGGATAATATGGCCTTGCGAAATTTGCAATTTTCAGTCATTTTGTATATTACGAGAGGGAAATTGATGCCCCAACACCCGATTGGGCTGTCAATTTCCCGTGGGTAATACAAAATGACTGAAAAACGGCAAACTTCGCAAGGCTATATTATCCGCATTTTACAACATTTCGCAACGAAACTTTGCGATTACTAATTTTGCGATGCTCTTTCAAGCTGTGATGAAATTTTTGTCTAGATCAAAATTTAGTCTATAATGCAAATGGTCCACTGTATCAGGGTGGGTTGCACTGCTATAGTGAAATTCGAAAATGGCCGATTGCTTCGTTCTTTATAGAAAACGTCTGTCCAGTTGTAGGAGGTCTTTTGAAAAGCTGCGTATACTGACTCTGTATTTGGGGGGACTTTCTATCTTACTATATATATCCTGAATTGACGACACAAGAATAGACCTTTCCCCTGTTTAGTGAAATTTTGATCTAGACAAGTCTGGACAAAAATTTCATCACAGCTTGAAAGAGCATCACAAAATTAGTAATAATCCAACGTTTCGTTGCGAAATGTTGTAAAATGCGGATAATATAGCCTTGCGAAATTTGCAATTTTCAGTCATTTTGTATATTACGAGAGGGAAATTGATGCCCCAACACCCGATTGGGCTGTCAATTCCCATGGGTAATACAAAATGACTGAAAAACGGCAAACTTCGCAAGGCTATATTATCCGCATTTTACAACATTTCGCAACGAAACTTTGCGATTACTAATTTTGCGATGCTCTTTCAAGCTGTGTTGAAATTTTTGTCTAGATCAAAATTTAGTCTATAATGCAAATGGTCCACTGTATCAGGGTGGGTTGCACTGCTATAGTGAAATTCGAAAATGGCCGATTGCTTCGTTCTTTAGAAAACGTCTGTCCAGTTGTAGGAGGTCTTTTGAAAAGCTGCGTATACTGACTCTGTATTTGGGGGGGACTTTCTATCTTACTATATATATCCTGAATTGACGACACAAGAATAGACCTTTCCCCTTTTTAGTGAAATTTTGATCTAGACAAGTCTGGACAAAAATTTCATCACAGCTTGAAAGAACATCACAAAATTAGTAATATTCCGAAGTTTCGTTGCGAAATGTTGTAAAATGCGGATAATATACCGGTAGCCTTGCGAAGTTTGCCGTTTTCAGTCATTTTACATTACCATCTGACATTTTGCATCAGTTTGATCATCTGATGCAAAATGTTAGATTGTAATACACAATGACTGAAAAACGGCAAATTTCGCAAGGCTATATTATCCGCATTTTACAACATTTCGCAACGAAACTTCGGAATATTACTAATTTTGTGATGCTCTTTCAAGCTGTGATGAAATTTTTGTCCAGACTTGTCTAGATCAAAATTTCACTTAAAAGGGGAAAGGTCTATTGGAGTTAAGATATTTAAGATTATACATCAACTGAAGCGCGTATATATAAGAAGAGGTTAGAGTATGTCACAATCTATAACGTTCTCTTATTTTACCATAAATGTTATTGAAGAATCAACGAATTCAACTGGATTGGCCGTGGGTATTGTCCTAACTCTTGCCATCGTGTTTACTTTGAATGCCTTACTTGTAATTCTCCCAATATACAAAAGACGACGCCAGGCTACCAAGTTATCGACCACAGTAAACACGGTTGAAATGCAAAATCAATCACCAGCAGAATCATCGCGAAATGATCAGGTATGTATTCCTTGACGTAACATATTGAATTGGACAGTTCAAAACTGAAGAAGAGAGCCATCACCCGTATCTATATCTAGTAATATGATAAAAAAGCCATATGTGAGAAAAATACGCTAGATTATAGTTAAGGAAATATACACCATAAAAGTATAAATTTGGTATATTGTTGAGTTTTTATGTCATATATGGTAAACAAAATCAGAAACTTTTTGTTTTTTTTGTCATGTATACAGCGCCAGGACGATAGAGGGGCAGCTGATGATGAAATAGAACCGTACGAAGAAGTCCAAATCTCGCCACCTTCTGTTTACGCTGAGCTTGACAGAAACGGACAAGACGAAACAACAAATGATGGTGCCTACCAGTTGTCAAAACGCGACTCAGATTATGACTACGTGATACCTGCAGATGGCTCGCCATCTTCTGTTTACGCTGAGCTTAATAGAAACCGACAAGACGAAACAACAAATGATGGTACCTACCAGAAATTGTTAAAACGCGACTCAGATTATGTAATACCTGCTCATACTGAAGCAGAATCATCCTACGAAGAGGTTGGGAAGATAAAAACACCCCCTGGCTACACAGAGCTGGACAACACGAAACGAGTGCAGGATGATAGTGCTTGTTACCAAAAATTGATAAAGAAATGACAGGGTGTGTTTGGATATGAATTTTCATTTAGAATTTCAACCAATTATTACTTCTTAGTAAGATACTCGTAAGATGTCAGTTCCAAATTGCTGTTTCATCGTTTGTCGCGGCTACCAGTTGAGATATTTTGTAAAACACATTACTACTTTTCAGTATACTAGCTAGCGTTACGGGAGTATATTGTTCTTAATTTTAAACTGTTGCCACATAACGGAACAAGAAAGTTAAGAAACGTGTCGTACATCTTTTAATTGAAATTCTTCTTCTCCGAATACACAAAGAGCTGAAGACAACGAAACGTGACCATGAATATAACGCCTCTTACCAAAACGTGAGGTTTTGAAATGACATCACATACGAATATATCTTACTATGTAGTCATGCTGTGATGTAGTGAATTATAGTTGTGACCAGATATCCAGAAAGTTAATATGAAATAAATAAAGCATTAATTATAAAAGATTAAAGTTGGAATTGCGGTTAAGAGTTAGACGAGGGTTAGTATTGGTTGAAAGATTACTGGGTTATATTTACATGGTTATAGTAAACATTTGAACCGACTAGGCCTTCATGTAAAGAAACTTAGTTTGTACTCGAAACTCGGTGTCGGTGACTTCCGCAACAAAGACATCCACACAGTCCGACTTATTTTCTTGCCTTCTTTTCAACATACGTCTGTAATTTTATTATTTATATTGTATTTATTGTATTTTCATGTTATTCTATGTTTATCTTCATTGAATAAAGACTCAACAATCAAAACGCTCATTTGCATCATAATTATCTTCTCATATTGTTGCATGGCGATACTCTGAGTCTGTGGTGTCTGCGGCAATTCAGTGAAAGCATACACCTTGTGTCTTGATATAGCCTTGGTTTTTTGGTCTAACCGTTTCAGCTTTCATTCAAGTTATAAGAAAACGAACAAAATGAAACCCGAATAAAATTCTACATCATATCGCATCATACAGACTATAAAATATTGAGTATTGGCTATTGGCTGAAAGTTTGAACAAAGGCGGAAGTGGTAAGTGGACAGAAACAAACCATCATGATGAATTTTAGAGGATTAAATTACATCTATATCATAAACTACACTCCTACATAATGAAAAGAACTATAACATTATTTTCTTACTCTGATAACTGCAGGTTCACAACCATACGAGAAAGAGAAACATATACTGATATACATGCACATATATATATATTGGTCACGCTATATTGACTGTACATGTACACAGTCTCAATACACTTAAAAATACGGACGAAGTGCGGCCAGGAATAGACATAAATAAATTTGAAGGACTTTCAATAACAAAAGTGTTTTTCTGCCCGTTTTTGGTACCGTTTTTGAAATTTACAGTGTACCTCGGTAAACCCATAGATATCTCTATGGGTAAACCTGGGTAGGTTTATATTGCGCTGATGAAGATCTGGACAGACGGATCAAAAGCTTTGTATGTTTTTCGTTGTAAGTGAAAGTTTGGGTTCCATTTAATTAAAGTATGATTCTTTTTGTTAGCAGCCGGTGTGATCTGCCGTCTCGGAATCGCCCATTACTGTAAATGGAAAAGAGGAAATATAATACAATTGCTTGAGAAATATAGTCTGAACTCTGAAGCAGGCAAACTTTTACTGATTTCTAGGCGCAGGGGAATTCGCTCGCAACGTCGAAGTTCTTGTAATATAGTTTTTAGGTCATTTGATCTTGTAATTCCGTAAATAATGAAATATAATATTTCTTGTAGTGTTCCACCCACCCTTGTCATGTTACGTGACCCGTCTTCATTCATATGCATGATAAGACTCCTGCTTCCTTGTTGAAGTGACAAGTTCTGTCTGTAGCCGTAGCAGTTGAAAACGTTTGCTTTGTTGTCTTTACAGTTTTTTCAAGCTGCGAGGAAACTAACAAGTTAAAGGTATACAACTTCTACAATCTATAAACTAGAAAAATATTGTTAAATTTTGGTTCTTAAACGGGGACGGAAGCAGAATTTCTATGAGGACCAGACAGAAGTTAGTATTTAGTTTATAAGTGTCACTAAAGGCATGAGATGGTGATTAACTTCAGCGTGTTGACAAATATACAGAAGCCAGAAAATTAAACTATATTTCTGAATTCTATTTGCTATCAAGTATAAGACTAGTATATATATAAATGAAACGAATTACAATCAAAATACAAGAACCTTCCCACTTCCGCTTCTGTAGTCTGTTGACATTTTCAGGAAGAGGGGTATATCATATTTTTAATATTTTCAGCTGTTTAGGTACAGCCATAATGGTATAGCCTTTGACCATAGCTCCATTTTGTTTTGGTACGTCCTAGAGATATACATGATTTAAAAACTCCGACAAAAATGGAAAATAAATCCGGGCTGATCAACACGCACCTAAGACGTCGTACGTATCATGTGCTCATTGTTTCCGCCCATTTTCTAACGGTTTGGTACATGAAGAGTTTGACGTTTGTTCTTGAAACTAGCAAATGAAGTCGACTTCATTTCCATGATAAGTTTTCTCATTTGGCGATACTAGTGGTGTATATCTGCGGCAATTGAAAACATGTTTTGGTATAGCCTTGGTTTTTTTTGTCTAAACGTTTCAGCTTTCATTCAAGTTATAAGAAAACGAACAAAATAAAACCCAAATAAAAGTCTACATTATCTACATCATATCGCATCATACAGACTACAAAATATTGAGTATTGGCAAAATTTGGGTGTTGACAAAAGCGGAAGTGGTAGGTGGACAGACGTAAACAATAGACCTTTCTTATAATAATGTCAAACGCGGAAAAACCTTTGGGAAAAACACTCAATGTGATGTACTGAGGGACAATTTTTAGCGACAATTCGCAATGCAAATGATGTTTTTATGGAATTTATTTTCTCGCCAACGACTTGCGTTGCGAATCGTCGCCAGATTGTCGCTAAGAATTGTCATGTGGGACATCGCATAAATTGGTTTTTGCGTTCAACGTCATTATAAGAAAGGTCTACCTTCCACAACAGAAAAAAATAACATTATTTTCTCACTCTGATTACTGTAAGGTGACCACATTACGAGATAGAGAAACAGATATATAATTGGTTATGCCATATTAAGCAGAGTATCTCAGTAAACCTCGGTAGGTTTGTATTGCTCTAATGAAGATCTGGACTGACAGATCAAAAACTTTGTATGTTGTTAGTTAAGTGAAAGTTTGAGTTCCATTTTAAAGAATAATTATTTTGTTCAAATTCTAGATGGCAATGAGCAAGATTTCTGAACGTTGTGTGTTTATTTGTCTTCTTGGTTTAACCAGTGTGACTTATGTAACACTCGGCGACTCAGGTATTGCAGAAAAACACGGGATTTTGATGGCGCAATCGCCAGATCAAGCCCCTTGCATCTCTGAGGTCGTGGATCAATCAACGCTCTTATTAGTTACCGTTATTCAACTTATTTTGTATTTTATTAAAATACTTGGTGTTTCCCGGAACTACTGAAGATGAAGGGTTGGTTATTGTTACCTAATGGGTAATCCTACTGTACTCTCACATCACCCAGGGACTCTGGTTTTCTTTCTCACCAGAAACTAACCCTTCCATCATAACTATGCGTGATCAGACATGGGTCGTATAGTCTCGACCAACATGAATAGAGGTTATGGAGCGCTATTTTGGCGACTATGCTGTTATCGAGTTTAAATAAAGCTTTAAATGACAAAAAATGAAAAGTGGCAGCCAAAGGCGTCCTAGTAAAGGTTAAACTGCGTCCTTTCATCTCAACTGCAAAAAAAAGTTATTAGCACTTTCTATACCTTGAGCTTAACATTACACGACAATCAGTGAGATCTCTACATTTGAAACATGAAATGCATGTAACAGTAATAGTAACAGTAACAGTAACAGTAACATAACTATCTAGGAAGTAGGAATGAATGGAACAATCCTGAATTGATCCTCTCTTGTGTGAACGTATTCTTAAAATAATAATTCCAATATTGTCTTATTTAGAATGTAAATCTTCACTTGGTATGGAAGATGGCAGAATTAAAGACTCGCAGATCAATGTTACTAGTTTTATTAAAACAGCATATGGTGAAAATGCTCGTCTACGCCAAAATATAACAATCTGGGGAGCATGGTGTCCTGATAAAACAGAACCGTCGATGCGTGAAGTGAATTACGACCAGTATATTGAGATTGATTTGTTAGATCTGGCAAAAATCACAGGAATTGCGACACAAGGACGAGAATATAATGAAGCAACAGAAAAGGTTGAGGACTATACAATATCATACAAAAAAGATGGTGGGGAATGGCATTATTACCGACGAAAAGATCAAGATGTGAAGGTAAATTTGATAAAGATGTTTCATGGATAGAAATTTGCATGAAACTTATACAATTATACCTGCATATATCTTTGAGTCTTTATTATGTGAATGTTAATTTACATGTTGCTCATTTTAGTCTGTAAATAAACACAGCAAGCATATGGATCATCCACCTGGACACAGTTGCGCAAAGTTCACTGTCCATCTCATAATTTGTTTGGATAGCTTGTTTAGTATTTTACAGATGATGCATCTTGTTGGCCGATCCAAGTGTTAAAAATGTCTACTCTGTTTCAGATATTTCCTGGAAATAAGGATGTATCCACTGTTGTACGACATGATTTGGACCCTGCAATTATGGCAAGGTACATCAGGGTTCATCCAGGTTATGAGACGGGTGCTGTCTATGTGTGTATGAGACTTGAGCTATATGGTTGTGTGGTTGAACAAGGTTTGTGACAATTTTGTTTTCTTTACTTTAGCCATGTTAAACTGTAAAAGCTGTATATAATACATTGTACTCTTTTACTATTCTAGATATTCTCTCCTACTCAATGCCAGTTGGGCAAACAACCAAGAATGGCAAAGTGCACTACAATGACACATCTTATAATGGAGTGATTACTAATGACTTTTACAAAGATGGCACTGGAATACTCACGGATGGCAGGTTTGGTCGTGTTACTTTCACAAAAGAATTTAAAGGGGAAGGATGGGTGGGATGGTCTTCTTTGCTCACTCAATCACAGTACATTGACATCACATTCGAGTTTTCTGGTGTGCGAAAGTTCACAGATGTTACGTTATTTGTGAATGTTAACAAGAAACGCGGTAATGCTGTAGTTAATGGATCACAGATATTCTTCTCTTCAACCAAAGATGGTTTTTCAGACACATCATTTCTTCAGTGCTATCCAAGAGATTTTGGAGCCAGAAATGATCCATACACTGCACATGTAACTTTGTCACTTTGTGAAAATACAGCAAGGTTTATGAAGTTGCGGTTGTATTTTGGTGGAAAGTGGTTGCTAATCACTGAGATCAGTTTCAATTCAGGTATTTTTTGTTATGTTTGTTTTTCATTTCTATGGATATTTTTAATCCAGTAATTCAAATAAGAGTCATAACTGTTGTGAACACTATCAAGGTGACCAATGTAATTAGTGTCAACATATCTCTACAGCCAGTAGTATGTAAAGACAGCCTTACATACAACACACAAAAGACAAGATTTATCGAGACTATATCACATGTAATGTACAGTAATAGAGTGTGATGTATGTCTACAGTCAGTAAAGATTGATCATGATTTGCACATACAGCATACAAAACACAAGATAGATCCAGATTTCACATTATCAAACACTAAAACGTACATGAAATGTATCCTCCATCCTACTGTTTTTGCAGCTTGTTTTTTGTTATTAGATAGTAGTTAATGTGAAAACCACTTTTATATTATTGTTCCAGCTAATGAAAAATATAGATTTAGAGGTGCATATAGAGCAATGCGGTAAACGCCGTAACACCTGCCGGCTTAATTTGAAGTCCTGTGTTTATTCTTAACTGAATAAGCTGATATTATATGTGCAAGCATGACTCCTAATGTGCGCTACTTTAATCCAGCTGATTCAGTTGAATAAATATTTAGCAGAAATGTTTATATCATTTGTTGTGATCGTTGCAACAACATGTTTCTAGCCAGCTTTGTATGCATTTCTGAATTGTCAACAGAAAGTTCTATCCAAAAATGTTCACGGCATATTGCCTATTGTGTTGGCCAGTCCACTTATTAATAGCCCAATGTTGCTGTCACTCTACCAAAAAATAAATGTGAACAAAAATATCAAAACTCCTCTTTCGATTCATTCAAAGCGCATATTTTGAGATGGCTGCATGAATAAAAGTGTATTTTAAAATATGTTATGTGTAGATATATTTTGATAGATGTTTGGAAATGACAAAGGGGCATTGCTTGCCTAGAAACGCATGCCAACCTGCCTAGAAACATGCTCGGTTGCAACATTTTAAAAAAAGGCACACATTAAACGCTCAACATATATTAGTTCATTTAAAACCAAGTGATTTTATCAAATCTTTTTGCTTTTTGCTTTTGACATTGTTAGTTCCTGCCATTACTGATGAAACAATGCGAGATTGTTCGGGGAATACAGCAGCTATTTGTACAGCGACTCAACTTTCCACAGGATGTAAAAGTAAGTAGTTATATTGGTGATGGTGGTAATGATTGTGAGTGTGATGGTAGTAATAGTGGTAATGATAGTGATGATGGTGATGATTGCCCTAATGGTGGCGACATGGTGATAATGATCATGATAATTTTGGGGAACGTATTATTGGAGCCTCTGCTCTGTGGGTACACCCAACACTTTTGGGTAAAATATAATAAATAATGGTACGTGGTCAGTTCATGCATGGTGGTTTTGCATGATGGTGACAATGGTAATTAATACTACTATGGTGATGGTAATGGTAATAATGTTGACTGTTGACATTCCTTAGATTGTTCATCTGGCTCAAGCAATCTTCCACTAATCATCATCATTGTCTGTGTAATCCTGCTGATTGTGATTGTGCTATTGGTCGTAATATTTCTCCTGTATCGCAGACGAGCACTGTGCTTCGGTAAAATGAAACAAAACAAGACAGACAAGACAGTACATGTTGAACTTCAGAACGTAGAGGATGCACGGCAGCCGACTTATGATAAGATTGAGGATAACCTGGGTAACCCACTGTATTCCAGTGTTGGTGGGAATCATGACGATACACAGCCCATGTTGTCTCCTGTTAAGAAGACATCGGGCGAGTTTGTTCCACAAACTGGTGAGTATCGTAGAGTCAGTAAGATATCGATACTATGATTCTGAGTTACCTTAAAAAGATGTACAGTAGGAAGTATTTTACAATAAGTTGGACGATCTTTATTAGAACTTGGTATAAAGTTAGTTTCACTGCAAAAAATCCCTGAGTATTTTGACTCAAAAAGCTGAGTAAAACGATGCACCCACAGTGACTCGAATTGTTGAGTAAAATTTACTCAAAATAAAGAGTACTTTTACTCAAAATGTTGAGTAAAATTGACTCAAGTAAGATGCACCCACAGTGACTCAACATCTTGAGTAAAACTACAATTTACTCAAACTTAAGAGTAATTTTACTCAGAAAGTTGAGTAAAATTGACTCACGCAAAATGCACCCACAGTGACTCAACATCCTGAGTAAAATGAAAATTGACTCAAATATATGAGTAATTTTGACTCAAAAAGTTGAGTAAAATTGACTCACGCAAAATGCACCCACAGTGACTCAACATCCTGAGTAAAATGAAAATTGACTCAAATATATGAGTAATTTTGACTCAAAAAGTTGAGTAAAATTGACTCACGCAAAATGCACCCACAGTGACTCAACGTCTTGAGTAAAATTACAATTTACCCAAACTGACGGGTAATTCTACTCAAAAAGTTGAGTTAATCTTACTCACAGAAAAGGCACTAGGAAAATTAAAAAAACTCACTTATTGAGTAATTTTACCCAGGATGTTGAGAAATTTGAAATCTTCCTATAAAAGCCATCAATAGATACCAGTTCAACAGTTATTCGTAATAGAAATCATTTAATCTAAATCGTAATAGAAATCATTTAATCTAAATCGTTAACAAAATTAATAACAGCTGCAGGAAGTTTCTTTCCATCTTGGATGTTCAAAACGCATTTTTGTAAATATAAATAAAAGTTGTTCAAAGTTTGAGGATACTCAAACATATTACATAATAGGTGGCCAACAGAGCCAACATTGCTTCAACCATTCCGCAACTTTCCACCTCGAACAACACTGTGCGTTCTGCCGCCATCACCACACGTTCCGGTATCGGATCACCTTTTATATGAATTCTTGGATGATTTCTACGACCACCCTCGACAACTTCCTCAATCGTGGATCCTTCCTAAATTGAAAA